TTTTCCGGGGCCATTTTTTCCGGGGCCATTATTTCCGGGGCCATTTTTTCCGGGGCCATTCTTACCGTACACCGCATAGACAATCAGAATATCGTGGATTCGAATGCCGGTTGAGGCATATTTCCGCACTCACAGATTATAATAATGATATAATTTAATAATAACTTTATTCTTTATTCACATGTAAACTTGACTCAACAGAAAGTTATAAAGTTATATTTCAGCATGGCAGTGTCTTCAATTACCTTAAATAATATAAACCTGAAAAAACTTTGCTTTTCAAGGTCCATTTGTTTTTTCTCAATCCAAGCTCTTACCAACTACACCTATGTGTTCACAGCTATCAACACAATGGACTCTCCTTCGAAGTTAATTTGTCTGCTTTTGAGTTTCCCAAGTCTTTGTAAAGGATTTATAATCATACTTACAGTTTTTTTTTTACATTTAGACTTAACTGTGTGTTTTATTTTTTGTATTTCTTTTTTTTTTACTAACTTACAAGATCTAACTTAATTTATCATAACTCTTATAACTTCATCTAATGTCTATCGTTTGTATCGCCAGCATGTAATAACCGGCCTAAGCAAACGTCGACATCATATCGTCGTCGTTTTTTTTATTAACTTCAAAATCCACCAGGTTTCTTTACCTTACAAAGCTTTACATCACATAAACTTAATTATCAAGAGCTTCCAATGTGTCATTTTTATAACTTTACAGATTGGTGTTCCAAAACAATTCATAAATACGAATTTATGAAGTAATTTCCAACAAAATATCCTGACGGTGCTAACGTTGCTGCAATGTTGTTTACATGTCATTCTCTAAACCTAAACACACCGCTCACAGTGTTCGTTGATGTTGTTATCGGGATTTTTCTAAACCCAGAGTCCCTTAGACCTCACCCCTAGCAAGCTTAAAATCAAATCCCGTTCTGCCACCTATGATACACAAGATTATTTTTCTCTTGTGTATTGAAATCACAATTTTTATTCACGATATCGTTCATTGGTGCATATACAGGAAATAAAACATAATGACCCTATTTGTTGTTATATGTATAGCTTGATAAATCATCATTATAATATTTTTAAACAAAATTATGATAGACAAGACTGAGAAACAATCAAAACATTTTACCTGTATATTATTGGAATTCGACATCTCAATAGTTGCCAAGTAATAATACAGTAACCTTAGCTACACACCATAATTATACACGGCCGTCGTTTCGCACCCACTGTATCATTTATCGATCGAAGCAAACTGTCCCTACAAAATATATATATATGTGTATATATATATATGTATTGTGCAGCTGCGTTATGGTTCATCAACTAATTTAATCACTAAGAACACGTTGCTTGCCAAGCTTCTATCCATGCACATTAGCGAGTCAATATTTTAACAGCCAGAAAACGAGACTAAATTGGAATTTGGGCAACCAATCAAATTTCCAAAAACACTTGATTTTGTTAGCTTACTCATTATAACTCTCTAGTGTCAGGTTTATAATTTCTGAGCTGATATATTTTGTTTTCCTTTTAAAAAGAGGACATACAGCATCTGCTAAGAAACTGCAATTATAAAAATCAAAAATAAGTAAAATAGAAGGCAAAATGGTAAAATACAAAATAAGGAGAGAAAGACCAACACCAAGCTGGATGAGCAACATTATATTATCAAATGAAATTATTATTCGGTTATTCATATAGCGGTCCAGTCATTGGGTCTACATGCTTAAGTGTTGCTGCTGTATTCAGCGTAGGAGCAAGTAACCCCACCAGGTACCTATTTATACTCCTGGGTGGAGAGAAGCAATGCAGATAAAGGCCATGCTCACGGACACAAGCGAAATGTACAGCGAGGGATTGAAACCCCAACCTCAAGGTTGGGAAACCGGTGTACGGTAAGAATGGCCCCGGAAAAAATAACCCCGGAAAAAATGGCCCCGGAAATAATGGCCCCGGAAAAAATGGCCCCGGTAAAAATGGCCCCATATGACAGGTAGGTAAAAATGGCCCCAATAATCAAATTCTGAATTAAAACTGATTTTCTTGATGAGTCATTATATGCATTTTTTTATCTTAACTAATTTAGTTTTTAAAAGGAATCTCCCCAATAATCAAATTCTGTAACACACAATTGATCCACATGCTTTAACTACTGTTTATTTGCATTGTTTATAACATATTAATAATTTGCCGCAAATATAGTAATAATATCTAATAATATTATTAATTTTAAAAAATACTTAGACCTACTCCCAGAGCTACTCATAGGAGCTAAAAACTAATTTATTTTAGTTCTCAAATATGCATATACTTTATGTTGATTTATTAATTAAATTTTTGCTACAAGGTATTTTACAACATTTGTTTATTTATTTTTTTTTCTTTAATTTTATAATTGAGGGCCATTTTTTTATTTCTTGATTCAATTCTTGCTTATACAGTATTTAAATATTTGAAGATTAAAAAAATATATATCATTTCTATTACCGAATTTTTCATTGGGGCCATTTTTACCTACCTGTCATATGCGAGTACGAACGTTGTTCGTGGTTCTTCCTGCAACTACAATGTGTGAATTGCAGTTGCTAAAGATGGTTACCGCATTAGCTGTAATTTGAGAATCATGTACGTACAGTATGAGGTTGACACCAACCGTATGAACGGGATCACCTGATAGAAAACACGCGCTTCAACCCGCAAGCTAACACCGACAAATGACCGGATTGGCAACGCTCTAATCCGAAGGAACGCCAGGCCACCCGGCTTATTAATTGGCTTACCACATGTTGATTGCAATCTGTAGCTTGACCACAGTCTCATTTTCGCGACATTTCTAGGCCTAGATGGTTAATAAAACCAAGGCATCTATAAAATTACCTTTTCGAGTTGCTTTTACTTTATAATTGTCAAAGTGAATCCAAATAAAACATTACAGAATCAATTTCTATGACTACCGTTCGTTGTAAACTTCAAATAGGTAGGCTTATACTAGGTGAAAAATAACTCAGAGGGTCTGTTATTTCGCTTTTACGGAATGCTTACCAAGTGAAGATGAGACAATGCCTTATTTATCGATAGTTGGGATGGCCCATCAAAGCAGTCCTAAGCCCAGAAAGACCATCGCCATTGCATTCGGCCTAACCTATGCCTAACGCAATTTCTGTTTTGTCGTCATCGTCTATCGAAACACCATCATGAGATCAATAGAAATCACTTTAATCTCCAACCTATCAATGTTCGATAACTACAATATCACCGTACCAAAGAATATCTATATTCTTTGCTTACACCGTCGGACCAAGGCTATTGATTGTTCAGATCTATAGTAAATTTATGCGGCGGATTAAATATTTTTTCTCACAAATTATAATTTACCATGGAAGGTAAATGTACACATATATTGAATCATAAAGATTTTTAAAAGAAATATCTCTGGCATATTCTTATATTTGAAAGCTAACACTTTTTTGTTTACAGGTTTCTCGCTTCGACTAGCTGGAGGAACACGTTACAAAGGACGCCTTGAGGTCTACACTGCATGGCAATGGGGTACAGTATGCGATGATGGATGGGATTTAAATGATGCACGTGTGGTTTGTCGACAACTTAGGCTTTGGAGATCCAAAGCAGACCATAATCCCATCATTTCCAGGAAGTTATTCTCTAAGTATACTTTTAGATGATGTTCGCTGTACTGGTTTCGAGTCTAGTCTTTTGTCATGTTCATACACTAATAGAAATAATCATAACTGCAATCACGATGAAGATGTGGCCATAGAATGCTATCCGGGTTAGTAAATATTTCAAGTGAAGCCATAACTAAACTACTTTATTTTTTTTATTTTTTATTTTTTTTTATAGTACTGTCGTCCGTAATCGACATTGGTTACCACACAATATCTTAAAAATTCTCAATTTTTTAAACACTTCCGATGCTCCAATCCAATATCTGTCTCTTATACACATCTAGATGTGTATAAGAGACAGGATAAAGGCCATGCTCACGGACACAAGCGAAATGTACAGCGAGGGATTGAAACCCCAACCTCAAGGTTGGGAAACCGGTGTACGGTAAGAATGGCCCCGGAAAAAATAACCCCGGAAAAAATGGCCCCGGAAATAATGGCCCCGGAAAAAATGGCCCCGGTAAAAATGGCCCCATATGACAGGTAGGTAAAAATGGCCCCAATAATCAAATTCTGAATTAAAACTGATTTTCTTGTGTGTATGTATTTACCTATGAAGCACCTTTAGTTTTTGTATATACAGTATATACACATTACGTTAATTGTTTAATATTTTTTGTGAAGAAGCTTCAGATGAAGAGGCACCGCAATTTAGCGGATGTCCAGAAGACTTAATTGTTGAAACAACCAAAGGAACGCATTACGCAAATGTTTACTGGGTGCAGCCAACTGCATCTGATAATATAGGTATTGAAACAAGAAGGCAGTCGCATTCGCCTGGAGACAGATTTGAACTCGTCGACGGAAAACCGACTGTTTACACTGTGCGATACTGGGTACAAGATTATACAAAAAACGAAGCTGAATGTTATTTTAATATAACTATCATTGGTAAGGGATTTTTTTTTCTTTTTCTACAGCGAAAATTATCCTTGTGTTATTAATTTTAATTTCCCAAAATACAAAGACACAAAATACATGTAATAAGAAATTTAGAAGAAATAAACAAATTTAAGTAACTAATATTAGCTGAGCCTTATAATGCTAATATAGCTCTTAATATTTACCGTTGTAATTTTTCATCATTACTGTAAATATTTTAAAAATTGTATTTATCTCTTATAAAAGAGTTTAAATTATACATTTTTAAGACCATATTTTTATATATTTCTATATCTAAATTTCAGTAGCTTTCCAATGTATAACATTTATAAATTCTTTAAGATTTGTTAAATGCTTGCGGTACACCACGTATATTGTTCTGAAATGAACTATTGTTTTTTTTTCCTGAGAAAGTCTCAACGCTTCTATAGAGTTGCTTCAATCGTCATCAGGAGGATCAAGAATCAATATCCGAAATCTGATATTTTTATCCTGGTGACGAAGCAACTCAGCTGAAACGTCGATGCTTTCTCAACAAAAACAAATTCTGTTCAGAACTAGAGTATTTAAATGGTGTACCGCAAGCACCACATTGTTACTTTAAACAATATTTAAAGTTGTTGTTAATTTATAGAGTACAATATTCATGTCGTTACAGCACCAGGTGGCGCCCTTTGCTGTCAACCAGACGTTGGTTACCGTTACGCCTGAATGACTTCATAATCTTAATGGTTTAGAATAGGCTTTCTGGAATAGGCATTTTAAAACCTAATAATGTACCATCAAAATGTAATAAAAGACAAAAGCAAGCATATATTAGTTATCGAACACACATTTAATCATCAATTAAAATTTTTTTCTTAAAAAAGAAAAACTAAGATACAACATCTTAATAATTACGTTAGAAATTGGGATCAAATGGTTTGTCAGTGTAGAAAATTGGCGTCCGGTTGAACGCATTTTGTGTCGCCGATAGCAACGGAGTAGTATCACGTGCTATCGTGACTTAACGCTGTAGTACTCTATATCAGGGACGTATCCAGGGGGGAGCCGTGGGAGCCGCGGCTTCCCCCCTTTGTACACAGTGTTAAAATTTTAAAGCTTGTTCTTGAGCCAATATAAATTCTTTCCTGGGATCACTCAAAATGAATACTTCTAAAACATGTAAATATGCATCAGTACACGTTATACATAGGCTTAATAGAACACATAGGCCTAAGCGTGATTTAAAAAAATCTGAATTCATAAATCTCAGGCCAGGTCTTTTAAATAGAAATGCGATACTATATGGTTCAGTTTCGTTTTTATATTTTTGCAAGTTTTGTTTAATAATACTAATACTAATAGTAAAAATAATAATAACAATGATGATGATGATCATCATGATGATAATGATGACGATAATAACTGATAATAATATTAATAGCAATAAAAGAGAAGAAAATTGTGCTAAATGCGAAAAAAAAGTTGTGATTTGTTGATCATAATTATTATAGTATAGTTAAAGCTTAGTAAGATAGTTAGGCCTAAGTTGTCCTGGATATTAAGTAGATCAGCGTTCCGCAAACTTTTTACTTCACGGCCTATTTATGATTCCAGGCACCAAGCCGCGGCCCAGCAACCGGCTGCGCCAGGGAACAACATACCAAATCTTGGCAAGAACTTTTGATCATGAAGCCT